ATTATTATTATTATTATTATTATTATTATTATTATTATTATTATTATCATTGTTATTGTTGTTGTTATCATTGCTGTTGCTATTATTATCATTATCTTTATTAAAATTATCATTATTATTGTTATTGTTATTATTATTATAATTATTATTATTATTATTATTATTATTATTATTATTATTGTTATTATTATTATCATTATTACTATTATTATTATCATTATCATTGTTGTTATCATCATTATTATTATTATTATTATTATTATTATTATTATTGTTATCATCATCATCATCAGCTTCATCATCATCATCATCATCATCATCATCATCATCATCAGCTTCATCATCATCATCATCATCATCATCATCATCATCATCATCATCATCATCATCATCATCATCATCATCATTATTATCATCATCAACATCATCATCATCATCATTATTATTGTTATTGTTATTATTATTGTTATTGTTATTGTTGTTGTCATCATCATCATCATCATCATTGTTATTATTATTATGATTATTATGATTATTGTTGTCATTAATATCATTATTATAGTTATTGTCGCTATCATTAACATTATTACTATTATTAGCATCACTATTGCTAATATTAGTAGTAGTATTGGCATTATTATTATTATTATTATTATTATTATTATTATTATTATTATTATTATTATTATTTTTATCATTACTATCATTATTGGTATTATTATTATCATGTTTATTATTTTTATTATTATTATTATTATTACTATTATTATTGTTGTTGTTGTTATTGTTGTTAATAATGATAATGGTTATAACAAAATCAAACACACAGTGAATGAACTAAATCAAAGTGATCTAAGTAACTTTTCTTTATATTGATGTTTTAAAAAATGGGTGTTCGTGTGGACGAGTTCTATTACCTGTTTATGTGATATTCTAGCTTCACAATGTTTATATTTGTTTTATTGCTGCCTGTCAACCGCAAACGATCTACTTTGCATTCTGATGACAGTGTCCAATCTCAGGAAAAGCAGAACCTGGCAACTCACCTGAGCTTTTGTCTGTCCTGATTCGAAAGTCTCATTTTCATTCAAGTCAGCTGTTATCTATTATCCATGTTTACAGATGTTTGGTATTAAAAACACCATATACTGTACTTCTAATTACCTTAGTCTATGTTTTATTTTCTTTATTTGAAAAGGATATTGAGTCCTGGGAGAGTTGCCAGTTTGCCACAAGAGGAAAGTTCGCCATATGTTGAAGGGGGAGAGGAATCGACGGGAGAATGGAGATAAAGAATCGCTTTTTCCATATTGTTTTTTTGCATTTTTCTATATGACAAAACGTGTAATTAGATCTTAACGAAGGGCTTCTTTTCCACCCTTGACAGAGGCGTGCTCGCTGGACTGCGGCCCCCACGGCATCTGCGAGAACGACGCTTGCACCTGTGACGAGGGCTGGACAGGTGCCAACTGCTCGGAACGCTTGTGTGATCCTAGGTGAGGGAAGTTGGCTGATAGTGCCCGTTTTTGTTTTGTTTTTGTTTTTTTGCAGTTGAGGGTCTTTGGTTTGGGGGGGTATTTATCGTTATGTTTTGCTGTTAAGATTGGGGTCTTTGATGCCCCGTTTTTTTTTTCTTCGTAAGGTTAGATAGACCGTCTTGTTTCGTTTATAGCAGTTTTTTTTTTTTGTTTTTTGTTTTTTTGTCTTTTCCCTTGCGCGGGATTATCAAATTTAGTTTTCCTTCGCTCTTATTCCTTCGGCTATTCATCTTTATTGCGTTTTGTCAGCATCTTTTGATCGTTCCGTTTGCATTGCACTCATCATACCCAGCAGCTGCACAGACCTTTGCAGAATAATTTCAGCCTCACTCTGACCATGCAGCCGAGAATAATCCCTTACATTTACGTCCTCCAACTCTGATATTCGCTAAAGCCATGTTTCCATAATCACCTAACTTGTTTTATATTGATCGCTGAACTGTCCGCCCATCAGTTCGTCCCCCCCCAAAAAAAAAAAAGGGGAAAAGAAAAAAATATATAACTGCGGCAAATTAGCATGAGACAAGCCTTTACAATCACTCAGAATTATAGGACCATTGAGCTCTTCTTCTCATAATTCTACAGCCAATGGATTCGCACAAGACCCCCCCTCTCCCCTTCCCCTCCTTCCCCTCCCTTCCTTCGGAGATAACCGCGTAGGTTGGTAGAACTCCTCTTGCAATATATCCACTCAGTTGCATAACTGCCCGGCACTTTCCATCCCCTTCCCTTTGAAACATATATCCTCCAACAACTGCATTATTGTTTGGCACAGAATTCCTTTCTGAATATATCATCGGAGTGCATAGCTGGCCATCAAAGGCTTGTCGGCCACCCCCTTGCAACGTATCACCTCTAAATCAGACGGGCCAGAATGGGCTCTTCCCTCACTCACCCTCAACTTCGAATATTTTTTTTTCCCCTTTTCCCTTCCCCTTGGCGAGCCCGGCCGTATTTCTGAGTCCTCTCCCCGTCCCCTTCGAACCGACACACAGGTGCAGCGAACACGGCCAATGCAAGAATGGGACGTGCGTGTGCATGGCGGGCTGGAATGGACGCCATTGTACCCTCTCGGGATGCCCTGGGAACTGCCGGAACCGAGGCACGTGCGACGCCGACCAGGAGGGCGTGTGGAAGTGCATCTGTCAGCCAGGCTGGGACGGACCCGACTGCTCGGCCATGCTCGAGACCCAGTGCAGTGACGGCGTGGACAATGACCGAGGTGCGTCGCTCACTCTCTTTGTCGATTAGCGAGGTTTCTTTCCCTCTAATCTGTCTATCTAGATATATGTGTGTCTGTCTATCTATCTCGATTTTTCTCTTTGTCTGTCTCTGTCTATCTGTCTGTCTGTCTCTGTCTGTCTCTGTCTGTCTCTGTCTATTTCTCTCTCTCTCTCTCTCTCTCTCTCTCTCTATCTATCTATCTATCTTTCTATCTATCTATCTATCTATCTATCTATCTATCTCTCTCTCTCTCTCTCTCTCTCGCTCTCGCTCTCGCTCTCGCTCTCGCTCTTGCTCTCTCCTTCTCTCTCTTGTCTCTCTCCCGTCTTTTTCCCACGTCATCCCTTCCCTTTCTGTAGAATCTCTGGCTTTCATTAAAGGATTCTTTATGAGAAATATGGATGGCATATCACTGCAGTTGTAGTGAATGTTGTACGAATGTCTATGTGAATGTTTGTAGGAGTTCGCGATATAGAAAGGCTTACAAATTTGCTCACGTTTTATTTTTTTTAGATTATTATATTTCGAAGAAAAAAAAGTTCACTAATGAAATACTTCAGTGTTCATTTTTAAATGTTTCCATCAACCATACCAAAGGGGAAATTGTTGCAAATGCAAATCTTATTCCATATTGCTCTATAAAATTAAATGAATATAAATAATATGGCAACTGAATATAAAGAATAAAAACAATTAAAACGGATCTATGCAACGATTGCAATTACCCCTCCTTTAATTGCTCGAAAATACGAAGGTATTTGCAACGCTTATGATTATAATCCTCCGAAACCCCTATAGACGAATAACTAAGGAATCCCCGCTTATTACACGAGAGAGAGAGAGAACTGGAAGCTGTTAGTGTGTCCCCGAATGCCACTCGGTCATCCCTCAGGAGCGCGTCTTTCCTAAACATTTCGGTCAAGTGAGCAGAACGGCACGGACATGTTTCTTTGTCTGTCTCTTTCTCGCTCTCTCTCTCTTTCTCTCTCTCTCTCTCTCTCTTTCTCTCTCTCTCTGTCTCTCTCTCTCTCTCTTTCTTTCTCTTTCTCTTTCTCTCTCTCTCTCTCTCTCTCTCTCTCTCTCTCTCTCTCTCTCTCTCTCTCTCTCTCTCTCTCTCTCTCTCTCTCTCTCTCTCTCTCTCTCTCTCTCTCTCTCTCTCTCTCTCTCTCTCTCTCTCTCTCTCTCTCTCTCTCTCTCTCTCTCTCTTTCTCTCTCTCTCTCTCTCTCTCTCTCTTTCGGCATATTATCAGGTCTACGTTTTGCTAGATTTACCATCATTATTAATTAGGTTGACCGCAATAGGGTTATTGTGCGTAAGCATGTGATGGTATGTCTGTATGCTGACAGGTGCCCAACCGAAGAAATGATAACGAGTGATTACTAATTGGTCAACTAACTGATAATGAATATGTGAATATGAAAAGGGCAAAACATAAATGCAGCCAACAACAGAAGTTTTATAATAGAATAAAGAAATAAAGAGTGATGATATTTTTTTTTTCAATGACATTTAACGGCTACCACTGCCAACCAGCTGACCGCATCTCAAGGCATATATAATCTTGTTATTACCGCTGTTACCACCACCCTGCCCATTACCCCCCCACCCCTCTTTCCACCTCCACCCCCACCACCACCACCTGCCTGCTACCCCTCCCCCCCAACAGACGGCCTCATGGATTGCCAGGACCCCGAATGCTGCACCCACCAAGCCTGCCAGGACTCCCAGCTCTGCGTCAGCCGCTCCACCCCGATGGACATCCTCCTCCGCAAGCAGCCTCCGGGATCGACCGCTTCGTTCTTCGAGAAAATGCGGTTCCTCATCGAAGAGGATTCGCTGCAGCACTTCTCCGGCGAGTTCAACAAAAG